GGGGTCCGGGGAGACCGGATACAGTGAATGCGGGTTTCGGGGAGAGCGGATATAGTGAATGCGGGGTCCGGGGAGACCGGATATAGTGAATGCGGGGTCCGGGGAGAGCGGATATAGTGAATGCGGGGTCCGGGGAGACCGGATATAGTGAATGCGGGGTCCGGGGAGAGGGGATATAGTGAATGCGGGGTCCGGGAGAGCGGATACAGTGAATGCGGGGTCTGGGGAGAGCGGATACAGTGAATGCGGGGTCCGGGGAGACCGGATATAGTGAATGCGGGGTCCGGGGAGAGCGGATATAGTGAATGCGGGGTCCGGGGAGACCGGATATAGTGAATGCAGGGTCCGGGGAGAGCGGATATAGTGAATGCGGGGTCCGGGGGGAGCGGATACAGTGAATGCAGGGTCCGGGGAGACCGGATATAGTGAATGCGGGGTCCGGGGAGAGCGGATATAGTGAATGCGGGGTCCGGGGAGAGCGGATATAGTGAATGCGGGGTCCGGGGAGAGCGGATATAGTGAATGCGGGGTCCGGGGAGAGCGGATACAGTGAATGCGGGGTCCGGGGAGAGTGGATATAGTGAATGCGGGGTCCGGGGAGAGCGGATACAGTGAATGCGGGGTCCGGGGAGAGCGGATATAGTGAATGCGGGGTCCGGGGAGAGCGGATATAGTGAATGCAGGTTTCAGGGAGAGCGGATATAGTGAATGCGGGGTCCGGGGAGAGCGGATATAGTGAATGCGGGGTCCGTGGAGAGCGGATACAGTGAATGCAGGGTCTGGGGAGAGCGGATATAGTGAATGCGGGGTCCGGGGAGAGCGGATATAGTGAATGCAGGGTCCGGGGAGAGCGGATACAGTGAATGCGTTGTCCGGGGAGAGCGGATACAGTGAATGCGGGGTCCGGGGAGAGCGGATACAGTGAATGCGGGGTCCGGGGAGAGCGGATACAGTGAATGCGGGGTCCGGGGGAGAGCGGATACAGTGAATGCGGGGTCCGGGGAGAGCGGATACAGTGAATGCGGGGTCCGGGGAGACCGGATACAGTGAATGCGGGTTTCGGGGAGAGCGGATATAGTGAATGCGGGGTCCGGGGAGACCGGATATAGTGAATGCGGGGTCCGGGGAGAGCGGATATAGTGAATGCGGGGTCCGGGGAGACCGGATATAGTGAATGCGGGGTCCGGGGAGAGGGATATAGTGAATGCGGGGTCCGGGGAGAGCGGATACAGTGAATGCGGGGTCTGGGGAGAGCGGATACAGTGAATGCGGGGTCCGGGGAGACCGGATATAGTGAATGCGGGGTCCGGGGAGAGCGGATATAGTGAATGCGGGGTCCGGGGAGACCGGATATAGTGAATGCGGGGTCCGGGGAGAGGGGATATAGTGAATGCGGGGTCCGGGGAGAGCGGATACAGTGAATGCGGGGTCTGGGGAGAGCGGATACAGTGAATGCGGGGTCCGGGGAGAGCGGATACAGTGAATGCGGGGTCCGGGGAGAGCGGATACAGTGAATGCGGGGTCCGGGGAGAGCGGATACAGTGAATGCGGGGTCCGGGGAGAGCGGATACAGTGAATGCGGGGTCCGGGGAGAGCGGATACAGTGAATGCGGGGTCCGGGGAGAGCGGATACAGTGAATGTGGGGTCCGGGGAGAGCGGATACAGTGAATGCGGGGTCCGGGGAGAGCGGATACAGTGAATGCGGGGTCCGGGGAGAGCGGATACAGTGAATGCGGGGTCCGGGGAGAGGGGATATAGTGAATGCGGGGTCCGGGGAGAGCGGATACAGTGAATGCGGGGTCCGGGGAGAGCGGATACAGTGAATGCGGGGTCCGGGGAGAGCGGATACAGTGAATGCGGGGTCCGGGGAGAGCGGATACAGTGAATGCGGGGTCCGGGGAGAGCGGATATAGTGAATGCGGGGTCCGGGGAGAACGGTACAGTGAATGCGGGGTCCGGGGAGAGCGGATATAGTGAATGCGGGGTCCGGGGAGAACGGTACAGTGAATGCGGGGTCCGGGGAGAGCGGATATAGTGAATGCGGGGTCCGGGGAGAACGGTACAGTGAATGCGGGGTCCGGGGAGAGCGGATATAGTGAACGTTGTCCTCTTTCCTCTCTTTCAGCTACGTACGGCTGTACACCGCCATCGCCACCTTCGCCGCCATCGCCGCCATCTCTGTGCTCCTCCTCATGCTGGCCGCCTTCTTCCTCTGGAAATGGAAAAAGAGAATAGAACAACGTAAGGGGGAAATACGTGTTCGGTTCGTATTGTAGTGAATCAAACTTCAGAAATTTAGTTATTCAAAGATTTGGATGTATCCAGATTTCCAGATTTCAATAGTAACAGATTCAACCACATCCGGCCCATGTATATAAACGGCCGGACGGGGGCAGTGCAGGGGCGGGTTGCAGTACATAAACGGTGCCCGCCATTTTACCCTGTGCCCCCCCTGGTAGTGCGCGGCACCGATCGCTGTATGGGAAATGATGATAAATGAGACCTTCTGCGCGTAAATGGAAACCTACAGAAAACTGCTATCACCTGACCCGCCTTCACTGGGTAAAATGACAATATTAGAAAGAATGGTGAAACGCTACAAATAATAAGTAAAAAACAAAAAAAAAGGCAACATATAAATAAATAAATATGTGTAACGTGACGGTACAAAAGAACACTCAGTGTAATCATCCAATTGGATCTACACCCTGCTCCAAATTATTCTGCAAATTCTATTTAAGGTCACAAAGATGAAACCTTTTGTTTTTCAGTGTAACTCACGGATGGCATTGTGTGTCAGGGCTCTTTTGATCACTGAAAACAATCTGGGACACCGGAGATAATTCGATTGGCCGGTGAGCCCAATTGAAGGACAAACTCCTAAAGGACGGCGTTCCACATTATTAAGCAGAGCGCCATTTTCAATCAATATGGGGAAGAAAAAAAGGATCTCTCTGCTGCCGAAAAGAGTGAAATAGTTCGATGCCTTGGACGAGGGATGAAAACATTCGATATTTCAGGAAAACGTCAGCGTGATCATCGCACTATGAAGAGATTTGTGGCGGATTCGGAGCACAGACGGGTTGGTGCAGATAAAGGCACATTGAGGAAGATTTCTGCCAGATCCATGCATCGGATCAAGAGAGCAGCTGCTAAAATCCCATTACAGAGCAGCAAACAGATATTTGAAGCTGCTGGTGCCTCTGGAGTCCCGCGGACATCAAGGTGTAGAGTCCTCCAGAGTCCTGCAACTGTGCAGAAACCTTGTATTCGGCCACCACTAACCAACGCTCACAAGCAGAAACGGCTGCATTGGGCAGAAAAATACATGAAGACTCATTTTCAAACAGTCCTGTTCACTGATGAGTGCCGTGCAACCCTGGATGGTCCAGATGGATGGAGTAGTGGATGGTTGGTGGACGGCCACCCTGTTCCAACAAGGCTGTGACGTCAGCAAGGCGGTGGTGGAGTCATGTTTTGGGCCGGAATCATGGGAACAGAGCTGGTCGGCCCCTTTAGAGCCCCCGAAGGTGTAAAGATGACCTCTGCAAAGTATGTGGAGTTTATGACTGACCACTTTCTTTCCTGGTACAGAAGGAAGAACTATGCTTTCCATAATAAAATCATCTTCATGCATGACAATGCACCATCTCATGCTGCAAAGAATACCTCTGCATCAATGGCTGCTATGGGGATAAAAGGAGAGAAAGTCATGGTGTGGCCTCCATCCTCCCCTGACCTCAATCCTATGGAGAACCTTTGGAGCATCCTCAAGCAAAAGATCTATGAGGGTGGGAGGCAGTTTACATCCAAACAGCAGCTCTGGGAGGCTATTCTGACATCTTGCCAACAAATTCCAGCAGAAACTGTCCAAAAACTCCCAAGTTCAATGGATGCGAGACTTGTGATCTGCTATCAGATAAGGGCTCCTATGTTACAATGTAACGTGACCGCTTCAAATGTTTACAAAGTTACAATGTTGGGAAAAGTTTGATTGAAATAGCTTTTGATTTCAGTAAATTTGCTGCAAACACAACAAATGACAATTTTCAACCTATAAAGTCGACCACCCCCCCCTCCTCAAAAAACTACACTCCTTCGGCCTCAGAGATTCTGCTCTCTCCTGGCTCTCATCCTACCTGTCACAGCGCTCCTTCAGCGTTACCTATAATGCTACCACCTCCCCCTCACTCCCCCTCTCTGTTGGGGTCCCTCAAGGCTCTGTCCTCGGGCCCCTTTTCTTCTCCATCTACACCTCCTCCCTTGGCCAACTCATACACTCTCACGGCTTCAACTACCACCTCTATGCCGACGACACACAAATCTATCTCTCTACCCCCCACCTCACCCCCTCGGCCTCCGTCTGAATCACACACCTACTGAGCGACATATCAGACTGGATGTCACTCCACTTCCTTAAACTGAACCTCTCCAAAACCGAGTTTCTTGTTTTCCCCCCCAGCCCGGACACCACCCCCCATTGACTTCTCCATCACATCCAACAACGCCACCATCAAACCCGCCCCGCAGGCCAGAGTACTTGGTGTCATTCTGGACTCCAACCTATCCTTCCAGCCCCAAGTCCAATCTTTAACAAACTTGTGCAGACTCCGCCTCCGCAACATTCAGACTCCACCTCCGCAACATGCAGACTCCACCTCCGCAACATCGCCAAAATCCGCACGTTCCTAACCCCAGAAACCACTAAACAGCTCATCCATTCCCGCGACTACTGCAACTCCCTCCTCACTGGCCTGCCTCGCCGCTGGCTATCCCCGCTTCAGTCCATCCTGAATACGGCAGCCAGACTCATTCACCTTTCCAACCGCTCCGTTTCCGCCCCCCCCTGCCAATCCCCCACTGGCCTCCACTCAGTGTCCTCCACCCCTCTCTGCCAATCCCTCCACTGGCCTCCACTCAGTGTCCTCCACCCCCCTCTGCCAATCCCTCCACTGGCCTCCACTCAGTGTCCTCCACCCCCCTCTGCCAATCCCTCCACTGGCCTCCACTCAGTGTCCTCCACCCCCCTCTGCCAATCCCTCCACTGGCTTCCACTCAGTGTCCTCCACCCCCCTCTGCCAATCCCTCCACTGGCCTCCACTCAGTGTCCTCCACCCCTCTCTGCCAATCCCTCCACTGGCCTCCACTCAGTGTCCTCCACCCCTCTCTGCCAATCCCTCCACTGGCCTCCACTCAGTGTCCTCCACCCCTCTTTGCCAATCCCTCCACTAGCTTCCACTCAGTGTCCTCCACCCCTCTCTGCCAATCCCTCCACTGGCCTCCACTCAGTGTCCTCCACCCCTCTCTGCCAATCCCTCCACTGGCCTCCACTCAGTGTCCTCCACCCCCCTCTGCCAATCCCTCCACTGGCCTCCACTCAGTGTCCTCCACCCCCCTCTACCAATCCCTCCACTGGCCTCCACTCAGTGTCCTCCTCCCCTCTCTGCCAATCCCTCCACTGGCCTCCGATTGCGCAAACGGATCAAATTCAAAATCCTAACACTGACATGCAAAGCTGTCCACCACACTGCCCCGAACTACATCACTGACCTGATATCCAATTACCGCCCAACACGCACACTCCGCTCCTCACAAGACCTCCTTCTCTCTAGTTCCCTGGTCTCCTCCTCCCATGCCCGCCTCCAGGACTTCTCCAGGGTGTCACCCATCCTCTGGAACTCCCTGCCCCAACCCATCAGATTATCACCTACTCTCCTCTCCTTTAGGCGCACCCTGAAAACCCATCTCTTCAGGGAAGCCTACCCCACCCCCTGCTAACTTGCCGACCTCCTCCACTCTTCCTACCACTCCATCCCCCACAGCTATCTCCTCCTGTGCCACCATCCCCTCCCTCCTAGATTGTAAGCTCCAAGGAGCAGGGCCCTCAATCCCCTCATGTATTGCATTGTATTGTTATTGTTCTGTCACATGTTCTGTCCCCCTCTGTAATGTACAGCGCTGAGCGAACCATTGGCGCTTTATAAATACTGTATAATAATAATAATAATAATAATAATAAAGTGTTTTGAAACTTACCGTGTGGAATAATTTGGAACAAAAATCCTGTTATCATTAGGAGGTTTGTTCAATAAAATGTGAATTGTACTCTTCTAGTTGTAACCTGAGAATTCTGCCGATTGTTATTTACATCAATTATTGAGGGAAATGAGAAAAAAATCATTTGCAGAATAATTTGGAACACGGTGTAATAAAGTGCTGATTGAAGTGAACAGGTGATGCCTGTAGCAATAAAATAGTGTGAATCCTTTTTCCTCATGGAAAAAATACACAAAAAAACAACAAAAACCTCCCCCTGCCCACATAGGGGACTAATGATCAATATTGCGTGACCCCTCAGGGGGTGAAAACACGACACAATGTGACCAGTGCCAGTAGTGAATAGCTCAAAATTCCAATACGAATAAATACATAAACATGCATAAAATCAAAGAAATGAATGTCCAAACACTCTAAATGCCACCATACGGGTGCATGTAATCAGTAAAAATGTCCCAAAAACACAGGCTAATGACTGCAAGCCAACAAACTGCTGCTCGGGTTAAGATGATCTTCAAAACAGGTGACAGGAATCCTAAATGGCAGAAATGCCCCCTCACCTCCGGAGACCACAAGGGCCGCTCGCCTTATAAATCTCACCACGATCCCAGAGACACAGGCCTCGCCCAGGCAGAGGTGTTGCATAAGATCCTTCCCAATAAGACGCTCAGGTCACAGCCCCATCCACATCGTCAGAAACATCAGCAAAAAAAAAACATCCTCCATTGGGACTTCAGATAATAAAAGTACAATTGCCCACTCACAGAAAAAAACTGGTTAAAACAGCATTGCCACCACTTAGTATGGGTGTACTGCATGGGTCTTCAGAACATGTCCAAAATGGCGTCCAAACGGAAGTGCGTCACCGGAACTGGCGTGCTGACACGTTGCGTTACGATCACGTGACTTCCTCAGGGTATGATAAGCGGGTGCGGGTGGGGCGTGGTTTAGGGATCATGATCGGGAAAGGTCCCAATTGAAAGAGCGGACCGGGACCTTTCCATGAGTACCGCACATGTGTGCTGGGAGCACGCAGGGCGCGCGCTCTCAGCACACACGTTTTTTGTTACATGAACGCAAATGTGCGGCCACTCGGCGTCTAGGCCCAGATGCCGGGAGGCCACACATTTGTGTGCAGCCGGTGTAAAGGGTTAAGGACGCATAGAGCAGTGGATCGGGTACGAGCAAAGAGAAAACTAACTTCCACCATCCCTGCACCATTCCCAGCTCTGTACACCCACTGTGCCCATTAGGAGGGGTTCCCACCATCCCTGTGCTGAGTTCCCGGGTCTGTACACCCGCTGTGCCCATTATGAAGGGTTCCCACCATCCCTGTGCTGAGTTCCCAGCTCTGTACACCCGCTGTGCCCATTATGAGGGGATCCCACCATCCCCGTGCCGAGTTCCCGGGTCTGTACGCCCGCTGTGCCCATTATGTGGGGTTCCCACCATCCCCGTGCCGAGTTCCCGGGTCTGTACACCCGCTGTGCCCATTATGTGGGGTTCCCACCATCCCCGTGCCGAGTTCCCGGGTCTGTACACCCGCTGTGCCCATTATGATGGGTTCCCACCATCCCTGTGCCGAGTTCCCAGCTCTGTACACCCGCTGTGCCTATTATGAGAGGTTCCCACCATCCCGTGCTGAGTTCCTGACTCTGTACACCCGCTGTGCCCATTATGAGGGGTTCCCACCATCCTGTGCTGAGTTCCCGGCTCTGTACACCCGCTGTGCCCATTACGAGGGGTTCCCGCCATCCCTGTGCTGAGTTCCTGGGTCTGTACACCCGCTTTGCCCATTATGAGGGGTTCCTGCCATTCCTGTGCCAAGTTCCCGGGTCTGTACCTCCGCTTTGCCCATTAAGAGGGGTTGCCGCCATCCCTGTGCTGAGTTCCCGGCTCTGTACACCTGCTGTGCCCATTATGAGGGGTTCCTGCCTTCCCCGTGTATAATACTCCAAAGGTCCCCCCACAAGCACACATTAAAGAAGAGAGCTCCCTCAGATGCCAGGGCCATGGTCAGTAGGCAAGAGGCTAGCCTGCAGTCCCCTCCAAAAGCCCCTTTTCCGGTGTGGTCTGTCACAACCTCCTTCTGATCTCCATTTGATTTCCTCCTAATCTTCATTTGACCTTCTTTTGACCTCCTTCTGACCTTTGTTTGACCTCCTTCTGACCTTTGTTTGACCTCCTTCTGACTTGGAATTGGTGTAATACTGACCTTTTTCTGATTTGCAATGTACCTGCTGACCTTCATTTGACCTCCTGTTGACCTCCTTCTGTCCTGAAACGTACCTCTTTCTGCCCATTGTTCAGTCTCCTGTTGACTTATTCTGACCCCCCTTCTGACATACAATTGGCTTACTACTGACCTTTTGTTTGACCTCCTTCTGATTTGCAATTTACCTCCTTCTGACCTTCATTTAACCTCCTGTTGACCTCCTTCTGACCTGAAACTTACCTCTTTATGACCTTCATTCAGTCTCCTTTGTTTGACCCCCTTCTGATTTGCAATTTACCTCCTTAAGACCTCCTTTGACCTGCACTTAACCTTCTTCTGACTTGCATTTGACCTGCTTCAAGCAGGTTTTGCATTGCCAGACTTGAATGGGTGTCACCTGGTGTAGATGGAACTGGAGAGGGGGGCTTCTCTGGAACCTCTTTGCCAATACCCATGGTAGTAATGACAGGGGGTGTGAGGACATAGAGTGACATGAGGGCCGGTGTAAGGAGCAGTGCCAGTTGATGCTTGCAGAGAGCAGATGACCGTAGTGCACCACGCAGGAAAGTTACAGGAACATCAGGCAGAGGCAGAGTCAGGATACAAGCCGGGATCAGTACACAGCCGGGCAGGGAGGTACAGGAACATCAGGCAGAGACGGAGTCAGGATACAAGCCGGGATCAGTACACAGCCGGGCAGGGAGGTACAGGAACATCAGGCAGAGGCAGAGTCAGGATACAAGCCAGGATCAGTACACAGCCGGGCAGGGAGGTACAGGAACATCAGGCAGAGGCAGAGTCAGGATACAAGCCGGGATCAGTACACAGCCGGGCAGGGAGGTACAGGAACATCAGGCAGAGACAGAGTCAGGATACAAGCCGGGATCAGTACACAGCAGGAACATCAGGGCAGGAGGATACAAGCCGGGATCAGTACACAGCCGGGCAGGAAAGGTACAGGAACATCAGGCAGAGGCAGAGTCAGGATACAAGCCAGGATCAGTACACAGCCGGGCCGGGAGGTACAGGAACATCAGGCAGAGTCAGGATACAAGCCGGGATCAGTACACAGCCGGGCAGGGAGGTACAGGAACATCAGGCAGAGACGGAGTCAGGATACAAGCCGGGATCAGTACACAGCCGGGCAGGGAGGTACAGGAACATCAGGCAGAGGCAGAGTCAGGATACAAGCCAGGATCAGTACACAGCCAGGGGCAGGAAGGTACAGGAACATCAGGCAGAGGCAGAGTCAGGATACAAGCCGGGATCAGTACACAGCCGGGCAGGGAGGTACAGGAACATCAGGCAGAGACAGAGTCAGGATACAAGCCAGGATCAGTACACAGCCAGGGGAGGTACAGGAACATCAGGCAGGTACAAGCCGGGATCAGACACAGGGAGGTACAGGAACATCAGGCAGAGGCAGAGTCAGGATACAAGCCGGGATCAGTACACAGCCGGGCAGGGAGGTACAGGAACATCAGGCAGAGGCAGAGTCAGGATACAGCCGGGATCAGTACACAGCCGGGCAGGGAGGTACAGGAACATCAGGCAGAGGCAGAGTCAGGATACGAGCCGGGATCAGTACACAGCCGGGCAGGGAGGTACAGGAACATCAGGCAGAGGCAGAGTCAGGATACAAGCCGGGATCAGTACACAGCCGGGCAGGGAGGTACAGGAGCAGGCATCAGGCAGAGGCAGAGGGAGGTCAGGATACAAGCCGGGATCAGTACACAGCACAGGGGCAGGGAGGTACAGGAACATCAGCAGAGGCAGAGTAAGGATACCAGCCAGGATCAGTACACAGCCGGGCAGGGAGGTACAGGAACATCAAGCAGAGAAGAGAGTCAGGATACAAGCCGGGATCAGTACACAGCCGGGCAGGGAGGTACAGGAACATCAGGCAGAGGCAGAGTCAGGATACGAGCCGGGATCAGTACACAGCCAGGCAGGGAGGTACAGGAACATCAGGCAGAGGCAGAGTCAGGATACAAGCCGGGATCAGTACACAGCCGGGCAGGTACAGGACATCAGGCAGGCAGAGTCAGGATACAAGCCGGGATCAGTACACGGGCAGGGAGGTACAGGAACATCAGGCAGAGGCA